AAGGATTCAGGGTTCGAAGCATATCTGGTGACTGCGCCTATGTGCAAAAAAAGGCTTCTCTGCACGTCATGTAAAGCAACTGGGATGCGCATGGCAGCCGTAAACAACAATCCCAAACACCTAACCTTGGTCGCTGCAGCTCATGCACCAGGACCCACAAATCCAACAACATTCCAGGATCGCAAACACTACAAGAACGCTCCCAAGCCGTGTGTCGTCAAGACTGGCATCATTTTCCAGCATCCGCTTTGCAATGCCCACCACCCCTCGAATGTGGAAGCTGCAGGACACCAGCACTGGTTTCTATCAAATGGTACATCTGAGCTTGATCAAGGAGAAGGCAGGGAGCAGCATTTCATGGGAGTTCCTTAAGTTCTGTAATCCCCCAGGTCGCGCCGGAGGTCGGTGCCCGAAAGGCGCGGAGTGCTTCCTGAAAATGCCGCATAATCTTCATGCAGTCATTCATGCGCTTGCTTGCACCCTGGCACAGGTCGAGGATGTCAACAATCCAGCGCCTAAGTTCATTGCTATGTTATTCCTAGACCCTTAAAGCCTTGAAGCCATTTTCTGTTCTTGTTGCTGCAGGGAACCGCTACAAATCTCCAGCCAAGGACATGTCAAAGGTGCGAGCAAGGGAGCTGGTTGACGAGGCTGTTTACCTTGCCTAGCAGAGGAGGGGAACTACAGCCCCAGGATACATGGAAGTTATCAGGAGGTCATAGGCAGTTATCCGTGGCATAGGCCTCGTCAATAGAACTTCCACGCGTGGGATGTGTCCTCGAGGTTCTGGATCCTTGATTTATGTACCCATCTCAACTTGAGCCAATGCAAGTTGAATCTAATAACTGAGCATTGCTTCGATTTACTCCTGCTTTGCAAAACCTCGAGAGTCTCATCAATCTTTCTCCATCAATCTTTCTCCCTCTTGGTGTGGTGGAATGGCTCTACAAAGGTGTGGATGGCGCACGGCAAGAGCCAAGCAACAAAACAGCGCACAACATTCAACCGATGCACACACTGGCATGTCAGAACTCTCCTCGGCGATTGTGCATGTTCAAAGTTCGATGCCATGTACTTTGTGTGCTGCTGTAGTAGACCGGCT